TGGACCACGTGGCACGGGCAGAAAATGGCCGTGGACCACGTGGCACGGGCGGAAAATGGCTCGTACCCCGAGGCGGAGGTCGCAAACCGAGGTAAAATTTTGGGGCTGGAGCTGGTCGTAACCCGAAAAATTCGCAAGCAGAGGCGTTCGTATCCCGAGGTATCACTGTACATGACAATTTCATCTCTAAGTTTGATATAGAGAGTATGTTTAGTAGGCAAAACCACTGTCTCACATGGCTCTTAATCAGGTAGAATTACATATAACCATCAAGACTGAAGATATGATTCCAAAAAGCTCTCATTCTGGGAATCCAAGTCACCATTGGACTAGTTCTTCATAGCCCATCTGATAAGCTTTCTCAGATGTTCTGTCCAGAGTCTGGATCCAGGTTTTCTGCACAACTACATAAAAATTCTCCCATTAATCTAACTGGCATAAGTAGTCTTCAATTGGTCCATCGCCAAGCAACTCATTTGCCTTTTTTCCTGAGTGATAGAGACTACAGAGAACAGCTGGAGGTTACAGTGATCATTTGAAAATTTACATAGCCTCTCTCCCATTCCCACTCTGGAGCTTTAGCTACCTATCCTGTTTGAGACCACTCTACCTGTCATCAGACTGAGGAGATTAGAAGGGAGACTGCATCTATTTTAGTATGCATGATGCATACATGTTGCAGTGGGAGCAGACTTCTAACCAAATACTTAGCTTCAGATGGTTTCAAATGAGGCCCAGTGCAAATGATCTTTCAAATATTAATTACAAGCAAGCAATCTGCTGTTCTCTCACTCGAACTATCCAAGCCACACTATGTAATTTCTTTCTTCAGATCCCAAAACATATTTCAGATAGATAATAGCTGGGAAATGGGAAGAAAGCTGAACACAGCTTTATTAGCCCATTCTGACTGGTTGTTTTGGGGTGCCTGTGACTAAACTTATTCTCACATGGTAATTGGTGATGAGAGCCAGTGTCTATGTGGACCCTTCAAGTAGTAATAAAATATTACAGCTCCAATAACCTGTGGTAGAGATGGTCTGCTTCTTATTTCTGTGGTCCAGTACAAAACAAGAAACTAACTTTTCTATTACTTGGCAGGTTTCGGGTGAAACAACCACCACCTTCTACAGGATTGCGTGTGAGCTACACTCCAGGGCCTGTAAGTCCTAGGGTGTTTAACTGGGTTGGATTGTACCAACAGAGGCGAACATTCTTCTTCAGCAGACAGGTCACTGTTCTTAAATGTTGTCCATGGGCCTTTCCTCGCAACTGAGTGCTATCCACCCATCTTGAACTGGCAGAATACTAAATCAGTGTGAAATTTGCTAGCCTCATAGCTGATACCTGTCCAGTCTCTATTGCCTCTGACTTTTCACTGAACGGTGCTGTCCTGATTAGTGATTAGCAGCAAGCAGTACACTAAGCAGTTGGATGGGTCCCCTAGCATTGCTGCCTTTTCTCTTCTGCACATCACCAACCACAGTAAAAAATGAAAGTGCAACCTTCGGAGAAGGCCAGGAGGTTTCACTTTTAAACTTCTAGTTTAATAAGGTTGCTCCCTATAATGAGCAACAGTTAGAAGGCTTTTAGATTAAGAGGGATATAACATAGTTTAATGTTCAGTACTAAAGATGTTCTTGGGCTAATTACCAATTACAAGGGTTTTCTGTAGTGGTTAGGGATTTTAAAGAGACTAAGCACATCTGTATAACCGACTAGCAACAAATTAATAAAGAGGCATAAAATGGATTATCTCACTTCCACGTGGGATTGATTTGACACTCCACATTTATTGAGATGGCCCTTATTTTCGAGTAGTAATAAAATATTACAGCTCCAATAACCTGTGGTAGAGATGAAGCCTAACACCAGAAATGCTGCCTTTTATACTGCAGCAGTGGAGAGCAGTGATCACATTTTTGAGTCAGAGGTTTTGTTTTGTCTTTTAAGCTCTTCCAACCCATTCTGAATGGTCCTATACAAATGCGTACAACATTCAGGAGAACCTTCTCCTTATCCCATTAGGACTGTGGAAGCAGTTGGAGCAAGTTGAGAATGTCTGTTCCTCCTGACTGTCTTTGAGGCATCTCTTAAGAATAAGTTGCTCCAAGAACAGCTGCTACTCCACTGAAGATGTACCCCAAGCAGCCTACACATGGGGGCTGGGACAAATGGGCTGATTGCTATATCTTAACAGAATGTTCTAGTATCTCCTTTTTTGATCTCTTAATGCCAGTCTCCTTTATGTAGTCTGTTTTATCACATAGGTTTTAAGAAAATGTCTTCTTTAGACCTTTTTTTCCTAATGAACACCTTTTTAGCAGCTTTTTTTTAAACACGGACTTACTCCTTTTCCAAAATATGGGAATTCTTTTTCCTAAATATGGAAATTCCTTTAAACTACCCTCAACATGCTATTTATCCACAATGCTTTAGTTTTGTGTTCAATTGCTGTATTATCAGCCTCGGGGATGATACAGCACAGTAACTCGAAACAAATTCTGTGTTGAGCATTTGAAGGGCATATTGTCATAAAAGTGGTTTGGTACTATTCAAACCTAGGAAAATATATATGGGATTTAGCTTTCTTTCACTCCGGGCTCCAGACAGGTCATCTCTTATCATAGTATCAAATGGAGAAGAGTTTATAGTACAAATGTTATGATGAAAATTCAAGTCACTAATGAAATCAAGTTTTACCAGCAAGTTTATTTAGGGGTGGTGATTAGGAATATTTTAAAGAAGAGGACAAGATAGTGGGGGTGGGAGGCAGGAATCTAATTTTCTTCATGGTGAACTATATGATCTTCTGTCTTTTCTAGGTAGCTGCTGGACTGCAAACTAAACTGGAAATAGAGATTTTTGCCATGGCTGTTGGAGTGGAAGGAGATGAGGGCTTGGGCAAACTTTTCCATCAGATTGAAATTCACACAGAAACTGAAATACTGTTTTTTCCTGTGGAAGCAAATATCTTTCAGTCTTTTTTTTTTTTTTCCTTTTGTTCTACATTGAATTTATACAGGACTTATTTATTTATTTATTAAATTTTTCAGCCGCCCATCTCCCCCCAATGGGAGAATTCTGGGTGATTCACAACAAACATTAAAAACATAAAATATATAAATACATAAAACCTTAATT